GGAAAAATATTTAAAAAAGTCTGGATTGCTAGAGGTCCTTGTATTGGTTTTTAAATAAAAAATTAAAAAAAAATGAAGGATAATTAGTTGCTTTATTTTAAAAATTTCCAGGATATTTGACAGTCCTTGAAAAAATATTTTCATTTTTTTTTTAATTTCAGAATCCAACCCAGCTGAAAAGAAAATGGGAAAGGAAATGCTGGTGGTCCTAGAAAAAATTATATATTCAGAAAGTCCAGGATAATTAGCAGCCCATTTAAAGCTGGTTTAAAAAAAAATTATTAAATGAAGGATAACTAGTTGCTCTTGTATCAAAAAAAAAAAAAAAAAAAAAAAAAAAAAATCCAGGATAAAAAAATCCTTGAAAAAATATTTTTAATTTTTTCAGGATTTAACCCAGCTGAAAAGGAAATGGGAAATGCTGGTAATCCTAGAAAAAATTATATATTCAAAAAGTCCAGAGTAATTAGCAGGCCATTCAAAGCTGGTTAAAAAAAAAAATCCGGGACAATTAATAGTCCTGGGAAAAATATTTGGTCCTTGAAAAATATATCCCGAAAATCAAGGATTATTAGTAATCCATAGTGAATTGCTTTTTAAACCCCTCCAGGATAATTGATGGTCCTTAAAAAATATTAAAAAAATTGAAGAATAACTAGTTGTTCTTGTTTCAAAAATAATTCCAGGATAAAAAAATCCTTAAAAAAATATTTTTTTTTATTAATTTTTTTTTTAGTTTCAGGATCCAACCCAGCTGAAAAGCAAATGCTGGTGGTCCTAGAAAAAATTATATATTCAGAAAGTCCAGCATAATTGGCAGCCTATTCAAAGCTGGTTAAAACCAAATCCGTAAAAAATTAATAGTCCTTGGAAAAATATTGAAAAAGAGTCTGCATTTTTGGTGGTCCTTGAAAAAAATACCCCGAAAATCAAGTAATCCATACAGATTTAGTTTTTAAACCCCTCCACGATAATTAGTGGTCCTTAAAAAATATTTAAAAAAAATTAAGGATAACTAGTTGTTCTGGTATCAAACAAAACAAAAAAATTCAGGATTATTGGCAGTCCATGAAAAAATATTTTTATTTTTTTTTCTAATGCCAGGATCCAATTCAGCTAAAAAGGAAATCTATCATTTATTCCTCATAAATTCCGTATTTCCAATTTCAAATGACCCATTCCCACAGCCTCTAAAAATAACAGACAAATCGCTAAAATGAAAATTTTTCAATTTCAAATGAAAAATGATGAGCCATTTTTTTCTATGCGCCGACTTGGACTCCGAGAATGAGGCGTCGAAACGATTTCCAATTAATAAAACAAACAACGCCATTTAATAATCCACAAAAAATTAATAAACCATGGCAAACACATTTCGCCAAGTCACTGCCAACTTATCCACCATTGCGGCATATAAATATAAATTTGAGGCACGTGCGTCTCCCCCCATACACACAGGATCTATGAGTGGTGTGTGTGTGAGTGTGTTTGTGCGTGCACACCTCTACGACAATTTGCCGTTGGAAAAATCTAATTATGCAAATCAAATTTGCTATCTTTACGGCATCACAATGCGAGGCAAATTTGCACATGACGCCATTGCGATGCTGCCTGCATTCCAAAAAAAAACAGAGAGAGAGAGAAAGACTCAAAGAAATTCATAAAGAAACTTCGAATTCGGGTGACACCTTGCCAGGCCAATGACGACGACGACGGCGATAAAACTTGAATGTGTCAACAACAGCAAAAATCTAAATCAAATTCTATTTCTGATTAGATTTTGTAGCAAACGATTTACGTGACATCGAGCAATTGGTGGTTGGCTGGCTGGCTGGCAGGCTGACTACAAAGGTGGCGCCCAACAAGGCGTCTTTTCATTGGAAATGAGGCGGGAAAGTGCAAAGTATTCAACAATATGACGCCTAACAAATAAAATTACAATAAGACAAAGAAAATATATGTATATGAATTGTGTTTCATAATAAAATTTCAATTCAGGCCCGGCTGATTTGAGGTTTCCACGTATGATATTAAATTTAATACAGCTATGCAAAGGTTTCCAAGGAGAGCTTAAGAAACCCGGATGTTTATTTCGGATTTTATGATCGTTTTAGTTATTCAAAATTGTTGATCCTTTGTGGGGGAGGTACCCGAAGGAATGATCCGAACGCTACTATATTTATAACAGATCTAGTGTTGATGGAAATATTGAGATGTACCAAGTTTGAATGGAATCCGATTTTAATTTCGTGTTTTATGAGCTTCATGAATATTCAAAATTTTGATCCATTTGTGGGGGAGGTACCAGAAGGGGTGGACCCATAAATTCCACCTTCACATCAGACCTTGAGTTATTAAAAATATTGTGATATGTGTAAGTTGAAGAGAATCGGATGCTTATTTCGGATTTTATGATTGTTTTGGTTTTTCAAAATTTTGACCCTTTGTGGGGGAGGTACCAGAAGGAATGGTCCGATCACTACCATATTTATAACAGATCTAGTATTGATGGAAATATTGAGATGTATCAATTTTGAATGGAATCCGATTTTAATTTCGCATTTTATGAACTTCATGGATATTCAAACTTTTGACCCTTTTGTGGTGGAGGTACCAGAACGATTGGACCTATATATTCCATCTTCACATCAGACCTTGGTTTAATAAATATATTGTGATGTGTGTAATTTGAAGAGAATCGGATGCTTATTTCGGATTTTATGATTGTTTTGGTTATTCAAAACATTGTCCCTTTGTAAGGGAGGTACCAGAAGGAATGGTCCGATCTCTACCATATTTATAACTGATATAGTGTTGATGGAATTATTGAGATGTACCAAGTCTGAATGCAATCGGATGTTTATTTTGCGTTTTATGAGCTTCATGAAGATTAAAAATTTTGACCCTTTTGTGGGGGAGGTACCAGAAGGATTGGACCGATATATTCCATCTTCACATCAGATCTTGGGTTAATAAAAATATTGTGATGTGGGTAATTTGAAGAGAATCGGATGCTTATTTCGTATTTTATGATTGTTTTAGTTATTCAAAACTTTGATCCTTTGTGGGGGAGGTACCAGAAGGAATGGTCCGATCTCGACCATATTTGTAGCAGATCAAGTGTTAATGGAAATATTGAGATGTGCCAAGTCTGAAGGGGATCGGATTTTAATTTCGCGTTTTATGAGCTTTATCGATATTCAAAATTTTGACCCTTTTGTGGGGGAGGTACCAGAAGGATTGGACCGATATATTCCATCTTCAAACCAGACCATGGGTTAATAAAAATATTATGATTTGTGTAATTTGAAGAGAACCGGATGCTTATTTCGTATTTTATGATCGTTTTTGTTATTCAAAACATAGACTTTTTGTGGGGGAGGTACCAGAAGGAATGGTCCGACTTCTACCAACTTTATAACAGATCTAGTGTTGATGGAATTATTGAGATGTACCAAGTTTGAAGGGGATCGGATTTTAATTTCGCGTTTTATGAGCTTCATGGATATTCAGAATTTTCACACTTTTGTGGGGGAGGTACCAGAAGGATTGGACCTATATATTCCATCTTCATACCAGGCCTTGAGTTAATAAAAATATTGTAATGTGTGTAATTTGAAGAGAATCGGATGCTTATTTCGGATTTTATGATTGTTTTGGTTATTCAAAACATTGACCCTTTGTGGGGGAGGTACCAGAAGGAATGGTCCGATCTCTACCATATTTATAATAGATATAGTGTTGAATTATTGAGATGTGCCAAGTCTGAATGGAGTCGGATGATAATTTCGAGTTTTATAAGCTCCATGAATATTCAAAATTTTGACCCTTTGTGAGGGAGGTGCCACAAGGAGTGGACCGATACATATAATCTTCACACCAGGCCTTGGGTTAATAAAAATATTATGATTTGTGTAATTTAAAAAGAACCGGATGCTTTTTTCGGATTTTATGATCGTTTTGGTTATTCAAAACTTTGACCCTTTGTGGGGGAGGTACCAGAAGGAATGGTCCGATCTCTACCATATTTATAACATATCTAGTGTTGATGGAAATATTGAGATGAGCCAAGTCTGAATGGAATCGGATGTTAAATTTCGTGGTTAATGAGCTTCAAGGATATTCAAAATTTTGACCCTTTTGTGGGGGAGGTACCAGAAGGAGGTGACCGATAAATTCCATCTTCACACCAGACCTTGGGTTAATAAAAATATTTGGATGTGTGCAATTTGAAGACAATCGGACTCCCGCATCACATTTTATAAGAGTTATAATTATTCTAAATTTTGACCCTTTGTGGGGGAGGTACTTGATGGAGAGGACCGATATTGTCCATTTTCGCAGCTGACCTAGAACTGATGGAAATATTAGGATTAGCAAAGTTGGAGCAAAATCGGATAATACTTTCTGTTTCTGTGCAGAAAAATATTTTCTTTGAAAATTGTGTCTTTTTGTGGGGGAGGTACCAGAAGAAGTGGACCAATATTGCCCATCTCCGAACTCGATATAAGTTTGATTATAATATTACGACGTACCAAGCTTGGACCAAATCCGATACTCCCTTCGAGAGTTATAGTGCGCACCAGCCAGCCAACGATACAGACGGACGGACGGACATCGCCAGATCGACTCCAAATGTCCTGAAACGGAGTTGGTCCCAAGAGACCTATGGTCTAAAACCGTTTTTTCGATGAGGCCGCTTTGACCGTATCAAATGATATATGCCCACTTTAGCCATATGGCGGAGGGTATAACTTGCCATATGGAATATGTTTTAAATTGAATAGAATTAATAAGAAATCTGCAAACCAGCTCAAAACATCAGCTTATTTCGGTTAAGTTGAATTTCTAAGGAGGAAATTTAAATTTAGTCGGGCTGAGTAAGATTTCCATAGTAAAGCTTTTACTCCGCCGGCAGGCACTTCAATATTCATAATATTTAAATCGTATTTAGAATATAATTTATTTCTTGTCTTTTTTTCTAAATAAAATCATTTTTTATATTTCCTCCTTACACCTCACAAGCCTCAATCTCATTTATAGTGGTATAGATCCTTGAATGTTTCATTTCCGTTGGTATATTCAAAAACAGCGACTGGGCAAAGTTGTAGTACAAAACCGACTCTTCGGGAAAGGCCAAGTTGAAGAGGAAATACAATTCCATACACAATTCGGCAGCTTGCAGAACCGTTTGGCAGGGTAAATACATTTCCTCAAAATAGACATAAGATTCTCGAATATCTCCACCCAATTCGCCGACCACCAACATCATGGGTGGGGTGGCAGTTTGCCGTAATTTCATGGCCTCTTCAAGTTCGGCCAGGGAGCTACGTATACAGATGCTGGCATTCTGTGATTCCAAGGTGGTATAGCGTTTTTTACGGCGTACACCATTCTCATCGATGACCACTTGATGGAATGGCGGCACAAGCTGATGCAGAACCCACAAAATAATCAAGTGCTTGGATTCTGGAAAAGAAAGAGAGGAAGAGAATAAATTTTGAAAACTCAAAAATTGCTTCCTTTTTTCCCTTACCTGTATTGCAGTGCTTATACTGCTGCATATACTTAAAGCTCGGCGATGTCGTATTGACTTTGAGATATGAAATATTTTCCAATTTTTTGAAATTTTTGAGAAAAATTTCGGAAAATTTTGTGGCCTTGGGAAATTTGGCCCTGAAGTCGGCGTTGATCTGGAAAAAGATAATAAATTTTTAAAATTTCGGTTTTAAGAGACCCATTGCCGGTCTTACATATTCCATGGCATCCGTTCGTTTGTATTCAGGCCATTTATCCAAAATATCCTGCAGGGATTCAATGATTTCAATATCCCTGAAACGAGTCGATTGGGTTCGTTGCCAGAAATTCATGCGCTCCTCATTGCTTTGAACATGCTTGCGCATATCCAGAATATGGAAATCGGCGAACTCATCAACGTATTCTTCTTCCTCTGGAAAAAAGAGACAGATGTTTTAAAGGGAACTGGGCTAAATTGAAGATTCCCTAACGGAAACTTAATTCAGCCGGGCTGAATTGAAGATTTCCTAACGGAAACTTAATTCAGCCAGACTGAATTGAAGATTTCCTAACGGAAACTTAATTCAGCCGGGCTGAATTGAAGATTTCCTAACGGAAACTTAATTCAGCCGGGCTGAATTGAAGATTTCCTAACGGAAACTTAATTCAGCCGGGCTGAATTGAAGATTTCCTAACGGAAACTTAATTCAGCCGGGCAGAATTGAAGATTTCCTAACGGAAACTTAATTCAGCCGGGCTGAATTGAAGATTTCCTAACGGAAACTTAATTCAGCCGGGCTGAATTGAAGATTTCCTAACGGAATCTTTGTTCAGCCGGGCTGAATTGAAGATTTCCTAAAGGAAACTTAATTCAGCCGGGCTGAATTGAAGATTTCCTAACGGAAACTTAATTCAGGCGGGCTGAAACGAAGATTTCCTAACGAAAACTTAATTCAGCCGGGCTGAATTGAAGATTTCCTAACGGAAACTTAGTTCAGCCAGGCTGAATTGAAGATTTCCTAAAGGAATATTAATTCAGCCGGGCTGAATTGAGGATTTCCTATCGGAATGAGTTAATGAATTTCCCCACATACTTATCACATTCGTACTCTCCGGCGATGACGGACCTGATACATCCAATGAGGCATCGGCAGTATGCTGACGCATCCTCTTATAGACTCTCTTCAGATTGGAAACCTTGTTGTAAATTCTACCGCGTCTGCCGGTCCTATAGAATTCCTCTCGTTCTGTTGGAAACATTTCCACAATTTGGGTTTCCAGATTACTACTTTGTCCCAACGACAGGGTACAACCATGGGCTTCTATATACCGTGCTATGACATTGATCAAGGCGGTACGATGTTCCTCTCTCAAGACTTTGTGCTCTTCGTAGTAACGTAAAATCGCCTGGCCATCAAAGGAGGCCTTTAAGATTTTACTTAAATTATAGTGTTGTGTGGTGACGGTACCGCCTGAACTTGACGAGGGTGTGGAAGAGCTTGCAATTACTGCGGAGTTTGGAGTGCTTGGAATATGGGAAGTTAAACCACCTACAACTGAACGTTTTGCACCTGTGGAGGCGATCCTGAGGAGAATTGGTGGCCGATTTATTCGTTCATCCACATCGTGATTCTCATTCTCTGGCTCATTATTTGCTTCCACTGCTTGAGAGCTGCCACACGATTTGGATTGTCTTCTTTGACTTTCTATGGCAGGAGCTTCAGGTATTTTGTTAGCCGTCGGCGACTCATCCAAAAGCTGCAACTGTCGCCATATCGCCAAACGATGTTCAAAAATTGCCTGATCACCTACCGGCCGATTTGCGAATAGCTTTTCAATATGCTGAGGTTTGAGTATCTTGAGAACGGTCAGGGTTATCCTTTGTTCCATAAAATGATTGTAGTGATGTTCCAAATGCCAGGATGTGAGGAGTTTTTTTAGTTCCCCATCGGATATGCTATCGGAATGGCAGTCCATGGTTCAAAGTTTGTTGAAGGGGATCTGAAAAAGAGGAAAATATATTTAGGGGTGGTGGTAGAGCGAAGAAAAATTTTTAAAAAATCCAAATATATCGGAAAGGAAGTCCTTGAGAAATGTTCATAAAAAATTCGCAATAATAATTCATTGCAAAATCCAAAATATACGAATTCGAAATTGCCAAATTGCAAAATACCGAATATAGGGAGGTACCATTATATGGAAGCTATACCAAAACGTGGACCTGCATAGACCATTTTCTGTCATAGGCTGTAGTATCCATTACGAACTTCAAATGCCAAATTTGAAACAATTCCGAATATTGGGTGCTGCGGTTATATGGGGTCTATACGAAGACGTGGGCCTGCATCACGCGCCTACACTGACCCTAGTGCAAAATTTTAAGATTCTAACCTCAGCAGTTTTGCCTAGGCGTTAATTCTCAGTCAGACAGTCACTTAAATTAAAATTTGTCTCTGAAAAGAGTAGGGAAATTACTCTTTTCAGAGACAATTTTTAATTTTTGATACTTATTTTCTAATCTCCAACAGTTCCTTGGCTATATCATTCAGAATCATTGGGGCAGTAACTATTAACAATAATTTACCATTTTCTTTTACGCACTTTTTTTTGGCACTCCTTGTCATTTCCCGCCGAGACTCTTCGGAAATAATGGAAAATATATTTTTCTCATGTTGTTTTACTCTTTTCTATAGGTTTTTGCTTTGTTTTCTTTATTTTAAATAATTACTTTTTATTACTTTCCAATTTGATCTTGCATAAACCCATTACAATCACTTCTTCTTTGCTTCACTTGAATTCACCATAGATTAATAACACACTGCATTGAAGGGGGACTCAGCGAAATGCATTGTTATTGTTTGATTTAACAAGGCAAAAACAACAACAGAGACCGGTATTTTATTGGGAGCTCTAAGAGCGAGAGCAAATTTCATTTCATTGATTCATTCGTGTTCTCTTCCTCTATGCATGCAGTGAGCAGCAAAGCAACAACAAACAACCCACTGCACTGTAGTTTATTACTGAGTAATGCTTGAGATATGTGTGCTCTGAGTAAAGGGAGATGGGAGAATAGGTAAATTAACCACCACTCACTCAGTGCTTTGTTATTACATGAGCAAACGAGACGAGGTATACACAAAAATATTCGCCAACGTACGAAAGCAAGCAATGAAAATAGAGTTGTAAATCAACAATCATGGATTTCATTGAAATAAAACAATAAATATTAGTATTTTACGGTGTTATTTAAAGAAAATATACTATTACATGTTTATTTTATAATATTCTTATTGAAATACTTTTTCCATTACCTTTAATTTAATGAAGCAACTTTGTTATTTTTTGAGTTAAACTTTAACAAACAACAACAGACGGCTCGCACTTTGCGTTGATGAAACCCGGCGTAGACTGACAACACATTTCATTGAGTGGCTAAGCATTTCGTTACATTGCTTTTTGGCGGAATTTATCTGGCAGATGAATGCGAGAGAGAGAGAGAGCGTGAATGGTGAAATAATAAGAGTTGGGGACAATATTCAAGAGAGAGGGTTTAAAGAAATGGAATTTCATTGGGAATGCAATGAAATGGGGTTTGTTAAATTGATGAATGGTTTACTTCATCGAAAATTGACAAAATAATTAAGGTTGATTGAACAGTTGAAAGAAAAACTTTATAAAATTAAATTAAGAGAAAATAAAAAAACATTAAATTATTATCGTAGACCATTAAAAAACGTGAAAGTCTAAAAAAAATAAATATCTTGAATTCTTGAGAAATGAAAAAAAAATACCGGGATTTTTTTAAGCATTGCGTTTACGTTGGTTTTTTGGCGGAATTTATCTGGTAGATGAATGCGAGAGAGCATGAATAATAAAATAATAAGAGTTGGAGAAAATATTTCAAGAGAGAGGGTGTTAAAGAAATGATATTTCATTGGAAATGCAATGAAATGGGGTTTGTTAAAATGTTTGTTAAATTGATGAATATACTATTTCATGGAAAATTGACAAAGTAAGTATGGTTGATTAAACAATTGATCGAAAAACTTAACAACATTAAATTAAGAGAAAAAAATTGATTTAAAAATTAATTAAAAATTAATTAAAATTAATTAATTAAATTAAAAAGTTAATTAAAAAATCGTAGACCATTAAAATATGTGAAAATCTAGAAAAAATTAAATATCTTGAATTCCTGAGAAATGAAAAAAAATACCGGGATTTTTTTAAGCATTGCGTTTACGTTGGTTTTTGGCGGAATTTATCTGGTAGATGAATGCGAGAGAGAGAGTGAATGGTGAAATAAAAAGAGTTGTGGACAATATTTCAAGAGAGAGAGGGTGTTAAATAAGTGGAATTTCAAAGGGAATGCAATGAAATGGGGTTTGTTGAAATGTTTGTTAAATTGATGAATGGTTTACTTCATGGAAAATTCACAAAATAATTAAGGTTGATTGGAGAACTTAATAAAAAAAAATTAAGAGAAAATAAAAAAAACATACAGTTATTAAAAATCGTAGACCATTAAAAAATGTGAAAATCTAGAAAAAATAAATATCTTGAATTCCTATGAAATGAAAACATTTTTGGCGGGATTTTTTAAATTATTTCTTCAATCATTGTTTTAAAAAAGATATTCAAGGCATTTGAGTATTTCGAGCATTGACTTTGATTGATCGATATTTTATAATAAAAACAAATTAAGACACAAAAAAAAAAAACATGAAATTCTTAAAAATCTTAAAAATTAAACTGATTTTGATCGATCGATTGAAAGTCATAATAAAAATAAATTAAGAGAAAATAAAAAAAAAAAAAAAATAAAAATCGCACAGTGTTGGCTTGTTTGTTCGGGATACCATAGTATTTTGTTGTTGCAAAATGGTCAGGCTTAATCCCTTTTTTATTGTTTTTATAAAAACAAAAATCATAAATTATTAAAAAAAATTAAAATCTGGAAAAAATTAAATGGCTTAAATTCGTAAGAAATAAAAACACTTTTTGTAGAGACAAAATGGAAAAAATAATATTCTCAAGAAATCCTCGATGATTGTCTTTTTGTAGGGATTTTTTGAAATATGTTTTTTTTTTTCAAAAGTGAAGTTTTTAGAATAGTTTTTAAAGATTTTTGATTTTTTTCGAGGGAAAATTTTTTCAAAATTTCTAGATATTTTTCTAAAATATTTTCAATGCCTAAAAAATGAAAATATTAGACAAAATGGAAAAAAATTATATTCTCAAGAAATCTTCGATGATTGTCTTTTTGTAGGGATTTTTTTGAAATATTTTTTAAAGCATCGTTTAATTTTTTTTTTTAAATTGAATTTTTTAAAATAGTTTTTTAATATTTTTGATTTTTTTTCGAGAGAAGATTTTTTCAAAATTTCCAGATATTTTTGAAAATATTTTTAATGCCTAAAAAATAAAAATATTAGACAAAATGGAAAAAATAATATTCTCAAGAAATCCTCGATGATTGTCTTTTTGTAGGGATTTTTTGAAATACGTTTTTTTAAACATCGTTTCATTTTTTTTTAAATGTGAATTTTTAAAAATAGTTTTTTAAGATTTTTGATTTTTTTCGAGGGAAGATTTTTTCAAAATTTCCAGATATTTTTAAAAACATTTTCAATGCCTAAAAAATGAAAATATTAAACAAAATCGAAAACATAAAATTCTCAAGAAATCCTCGATAATTGTCTTTTTGTAGGGATTTTTTGAAATATTTTTTTTTAACATCGTTCAATTTTCTTTCAACGTGAATTTTTTAAAATAGTTTTTTAAGATTTTTTATTTTTTTCGAGGGAAGATTTTTTCAAATTTCCAGACATTTTTTAAAATATTTTTAATGCCAAAAAAAAAAAAATAAAAATATTAGACAAAATGAAAAAAATAATATTCTCAAGAAATCCTCGATAATTGTGTTTTTGTAGGGATTTTTTGAAATATTTTTTATAAACATCGTTTGATTTTCTTTCAAAAGTGAATTTTTTTAAATAGTTTTTTTTAAGAATTTTGATTTTTTTTCGAGGGAAGATTTTTTCAATTTTTTTTTAATGTTTTATTGCCTAAGAAATAAAAATATTAGACAAAATTGAAAAAATAATATTCTCAAGAAATCCTCTATGATTGTCTTTTTGTAGGGATTTTTTTTCAATATTTTTTTATTTTTTTTTTTCAAAAGTGAATTTTTTAAAATAGTTTTCTTTTAAGATTTTTGATTTTTTTCGAGGGAAGGTTTTTTCGAAATTTCCAGATATTTTTTAAAATATTTTTAATGTCTAACAAAAATAAAAATATTAGGCAAAATGGAAAAATAATATTCTCAAGAAATCCTCGATGATTGTCTTTTTGTAGGGATTTTTTGAAATATTTTTTAAATCATGGTTTATTTTTTTTTTGAAGAGTGAATTTTTAGAAATAGTTTTTTAAGATATTTGATTGTTTTTCGAGGGAAGATTTTTTCAAAATTTCCAGATATATGTATTTTTTTTTAAATATTTTTAATGCTTAACAAAAATAAAAATATTAGATAAAATGGAAAAAATAATATTCTTAAGAAATCCCCGATGATTGTCCTTCGAGACCTAAAATAGCTGATATTACAAAAAACGATTCCCAAGCCCCGCTCTCCTTCTTAAAAACATCCCAATTGTTTTTGCGTATTGAAAAATTCAAATAGTTATTTGAGTTACAAATAGAAAAATACATATTTCCTGTTTCCTTTCTTATATTCCATTGTTGAATCCTGCTGCTGTTCAGCAAATGTTAGCTTTTTTTTGTGGAATGTAAATATCCGTCCCCCCAAAACATCGAAAATCGTTTCTTCTTTTAGTTGTTTCCGAAAAAAAAAACAAATATTTGCTATAATTTGAATAGTTTGAGTTATAGTTTTATACAACCATCATCCCTCTCTCCTACCCTCCCCTCTCTATATCTCCCCTACCCCTAGTAACCAATTTCTTCGATAGTCTTCACTGACAATGATAAATGTTGAAGTCATTAAAATTCGATTTGCAAGGATTCGGATTTGTTTTTGTGTTTTCTTTTTTGGCATATCCTTTGTTTCAAAGAAATGTTTTTTCTCTCTCCTCTCTTATATCTCAAAACGAGACATATTCCAGAGCGGACAATTACAAGTAACATTTACATGGTTGATTTTATTTGAAAACGGAACTAGGAACCAAAGAACAGGAGGAGCACCAAATCAAAGGGAGGACATGATGGAAAAGACAACAAGAAGAGCTACAAATCCGTGGGACTTATAAGTTTTGCACTAATTGCTCTTTGATATTCTTCAAGTGGTTCGAATTGAGGTTTTTGTGAAACAAAGTTTTTCTTTTTCATTGAATGTTGTAATAATGATCAGAAAAATAGGGAGAGGGGAAAAGAGAATGGAAGTAAAGTCAATTATGGGAAAATAATCTATTGAAAAAATAAGACATAATACAGTTATTTAAAAAATTTGCTTTTAAAGGCACCTGCAGTGTTTTAACGGATTTTTTTAAGCTACCTTGTGCCTACATTTAACGAAATTGTGTGAAATTTTGTCTCTGAAGTTCCTAATAGGTATTAAAGCCTTAGACAGAAAATTGTCTGTGCAGGTCCAATTCTTCGCATAGCCTCCATAAAACGATACCTTCCGATATACGATATTTTGACGATTTTAGTGAAATTATTCACCGGAATTGTTTCAACTTTGGTATTTGAAGTTCGTAATGAATGCTTCAGCCTATGCCAGAAAATTGTCTATGCAGGTCTGGGTCTTCATATAACCCCCATATAACGGTACCTCCCGATATTGGGTGTTTTGATGATTTTAGCGACATTATTCACCGGATTTGTTGCAAATTTTGCATTTGAAGTTCGTAATAGGTACCACAGCCTGTGACACAAAATTGTCTATGCTGGTCCAGATCTTCGTATAGCCTCCATATATCGATACCTCCCGATATTAGGTATTTTGATGATTTTAGCGACATTATTCACCGGAATTGTTTGAAATTTCGTATTTGAAGTTCCTGATAGATATTACAGCCCGTGACAGAGAATTGCCTACGCAGGTCCATGTGTTCGTATTGCCCCCATACAACGATACCTTCCGATGTTCGGTATTTTGTTGCCTTTAGCGACATTATTCACCGAAATTGTTTCAAACTTGGTATTTGAAATTCGTAATGGATTCCGCAGTTCATGACTGAAAATTGTCAGTGCAGGTCCAGGTCTTCACATAGCCTCCATATAACGATACCTCTCGATATTCGGTATTTTGACGATTTTAGCGACATTATTCACCGGAATTGTTTGAAATTTGGTATTTGAAGTTCGCAATAAAAACTGCAGCCTATGCCTGAAAATTGTCGGTGCAGGTCCAGGTCTTCATATAGCCTCCTTATAACGTT